GCAGCACATTTCTAATTGTCACTGACTGGAGTTCAGGAGTCGTTGAACGGCAAAACGTCACTGCTAACCGGCTTATCGGTAATAAAGAACGATCTCCGAGCACCTGGTGGGTTTTACCTGATTGCAAGAGGTGACTAAAATCGATAATAGTTCCCGCGACAGTTGAGTCTTTATACCAGAACAAACCGGATTTTTATCCGGTCAAGGACTTCCACTGTCGAAACTAATTTTGAGGAATACTTTTGTGGTTACAATAACAACGTCCGTTGAGAAGATGCCTTTAAGATCCCGTCGAATTCGATATAAAATCTACTTTTGTCTTTTGGAGGGCTTCTTTATCAGCGACGAGAGGCTTTGTCATTTTGAGAAATGACAAACTCTTGGACACAGTATTTACTAAAGTAGTAGTTTCTCCTAGATATTGTTAGAGCTTTATATCACAGTGAACCAGCTGACTTATTCGTGAGTTTTGCTATGGGTTCTGAAGGCGAGGCAGCCCTAAGGTCAGGTTAGGGTAGATCGTACTGTCTGACCTTAAAAGTGCCTACTCGTTCTTTGCACTAACAGATAGATATTCAGTTCAATGCGAGCTAAACTGGTATTCGGGTAGGGCGTAAGCGCTTTTTATGAAGTTCAAGAGAACCTTCACCTATTCCTTTGAACTATGAAGCTTCTAGATGTCTAAGACCAATTCTAAATAATGTCGGACAGAAGCAGAGAAGGAGTTGCAACTTTCCACATCCTCCAGGTGTCACTGCTGCCAGCAACTCCCATTCTGCACGCTTGTATTACCTGTGGGTTGTGCCCTACCTTTAGACCTAAAACTATTCTTTAGACTCCTCCGATGTGGGTTTGTTTTCCTTTGTTGCCCTTACACATGATCTTGCCGTACTTACAAGCTCGAAAGGCATTCCATTTTACCCTCATCCGTCTTTCATCACTTTCGGCTGTTTAATTGTTTCGCGTTTTCAGCGATTATCGTATTTCAAATACTAGTTCGGTAGCCAGACGAATGGCACTTTTGGAAAACTCATCAACCATTTTATTTTCAACAAATTTCAACAGTTTCTACTCTGCAGCCACATTATCTACCGTAGGGACCTCCGCCTCGTAAGTACTGCAGTACTCCGGCAGCTTGAAAGGTTGGCTGAAGTCTAGCCCAACGCAATAGACTCTGGTGCCTAATCCAACAGCCATTTGCGATGCGTCCGTGTAGATGTGACAGGCTCTGCAGATTCCTACGAAATCCGCACTCTCTTGTGGTTCGAAAAGGTCTCTCAGATAAATCGAGCTATACCCGAAGGTTCTTGCTTTTCTACAGCAATTTCAATTGGTAGTAGATTGGGTAATCTTCGGAGCTTAGCCGTTTTAGTCATTCTTAACCGTCCTACTAAACGGAGTGCAGCGGGTCGTTGTATTTCCTATATGAGATCACCAGTGCATAACACCAAAGCCAGAGACCAGGTGATAGATCATGTAGAGCCTTTTACACTCTCTACTCCACACTGAGCTTGCACATAAGGTTGTTGCCTAAAACTGCTTCCAAGAACGTGGCATTCTCAACGCCGTTGAGTCTCAGAGTTCCTAAGCAGGGTCAGGGTACTAATTTTGTCTGTGCACATGTCCGTCACTAATATGGCTGTGTCCTACGCCTTAACTTCGGTGTTTTCCGATCAAATTTTTTTGAAAGGGGTCTCCCTTTCTTCCTTTTTCTTCTTGCTGCTCAGTTTAGTTTTTATCCATAAAAGAAAGTCAGGATCTACCCGGAGTATCCGGGTTCCGGAGCTGCCTCTACGCCGCTATGTCTGAATTTGATATCTGACGTTAAACAACAACAAAAGTTCCATCAAAACCGGGATGGACCCCTCCGAGCTGTTCGAAAGCAAACGAGCTTCCAGACAAGGTGACTCTTTGCATTGTAATTTCTGTTATTTATTGCTGGGGAAAATATGGTGCGAAGACATGTGATGAGTCGACGCTAGCAAATGTCTATAGTTTTTTGGTCCTCTGGGCTTTGGGAGTATTGTAGCCGATGGAACGATATGCTACATGAGATATGTGGCGACTCTTACTTAATTTATAGTTCGGCTACGTTGTTAAGGTCAAGAATACTCCAGCTTTGAAAGTGCCCGCCGGTGGAAGCAGAAGAAGAGGCAGACATCCTCCCGCTTGGACGCAGAAGGGGAAGTTCTCCACTCTGTTGGAAAAACCAGTTGGATAAGGATCTGGCGGTACATGGTATCTCCAATTGGCGCCAAACAGCAAAAACACAAGAAATAAGTGGCGGCGCGCTGTTCTTAACTCGGGGATAGTCGCATAAACGGTGTCTACATCAGTAAAGAAGAAAAAGAAGAAGTTCTCTTTGTGAAGTCTTACGTTCCGAGCGGTTAAAACTTTGGACTAATAAATCAAACTCCGACCACAGACACCAAACTCGCGCTGATTAAACAAACATAAGAACACTTTTGCTTCGTAAGGTGGCCGCGGGAGTTTCAAATCAAGCTCACCAGCTAAGTTTCGAGCTTAGCACCACATTTACCGAAAAATTTTTAACTACACCTGCGCGCCCCGGCTGGTAGACGCGAACACTTCGTAAAACAACTTCCCATATGAAACACCAAGCCCAACACATTTTAACGAATTGCTCCACGCTCGCCGCTTGCTACACGCATTTGTACAAAAATAATTATTCACACCTCTGAAGTATGCGAAAAAAAGATTCTAAATTAAATTCATTTGCGTCATTAAAATGTTAAATGAATTGCCGCCGACAATTTTTCTTACATTTGCAGACTTCTTGTGTTCACTTTGTGCTTTTGTTTTTGTTTTCACTATGTTTGTTTGTTTGTTTGTTTTGCTTGAATTGTGGAACAGCAATTGTAGCCTTTCATGTTGAACGCGAGTTTTCGGTCGTCGGTACGTACGCGATCGCGCTTTCGCCTCGTTGTCGAGCGAAAGACTTGAGCCGCGTGTGGATTGGACTCGTACATGCATTCGTATATCTTTGTATGTGTGTATGTGTAGGTGTGTGTGTATGTGTATGGAGGCATGAAATGAAGGAGGTATCTTCAGAGCGGTATCCTGATTTCTTTCCTTCGCGTTGTTGTTGTTGCAGCTCGCATGTGACAATCCTGTTAATGTGCTGACGGGGTTTGCAGAAGTTGCACGAATTGTTTTTGCTCGCTTGTTTGTTTGGCCGCGCAGTTACTTTGTGAGCTTGTATTTTCTGTTTTTGTTGTACTTTTTTTTTTTTTTTTGTCATTCTTATTGCCAACCAAGTCAAAGCCATGCGAAACTAACTGATCGATTCGATCGATGCGACTACATCATGCAACCGCGCACAGCAGCCAACAGCGCACAGAGGTAGACATCAAATACCGTACAATATGTGTTGCTGGGAAGAGTCGGCGAGTGGTTAGTAGTGCGTACGATGAGGTGCAGAGCCATAGGTTCGTCCTCTCCGCAGACCAAACTGTAAAAAAAAATGTTTCTTAAGTGCAATCGGCTCTCGGCAGTGAACGATCATAGCTCCGTGGATATTTCCGACTTGAATCCGCCGCTTGTAGACGATTTAAAACAGTAACTTCCTTCCTTTACAGGGAGCACATCACAAAGACGCGCTCCACATCCCGCTGTAGAAGCTCGGCCCACCGAAGGGGTTTAAAAATTTATTATTTGTATACACCTTTCGCCTCTGTATGCCTGCCTTCGATACCGTTTCTTCCACACTTAATTTTTTAATCGCTGCCACTCGGTCTACTCCGTCTACTTAGTCTACATAGTTGACCCTCAAGCGTAGCGTGTGTGCATATGTCTCTTTTTGTATACAAATCGTGCCAAATGGTGTAACACCTCAGCCTCCTAGTGGGTATCTGTTAGCAACTACATCGCCGGCATGCCAGCCATTGTGGCGAAAAATAGCGTACCGACTGAATCCGCTGTCCGAGAATCGGCGGTGATTTCGGCTCTGTGATAATCATTGGCATTGGCGGTCGAGCGGTTGGTCACACGCACTACTGCATCTTCGTGCAAACGGAAAAATGGAGCGTACGTATGTACGTGTATAAGTATGTGAGTATGTTTAACCGGCAGCCGGCAGCCAACAGCAATGGAAATGAAATTAAGAGATGTTTATAAAAATGCACGAAAACCACTTAAACCAAACGCCTTTGACAATTAACAGAAAATAATTCGTTCAATAAAAAATTCCACATTCCACATTTGTTGTACAAACACACACACACACACACTACCACTACGTATGTATGCAAAGAAACATGCAAAGGATTCTTCAGCATCTTCACTGCTTCGTGCACTGCTGTGTTTCATCGGCAACTCAAGTCAGGTTGTTAATGTGCATGCATTTGTTGTTGGTTTTGTAGGTGTAAATATGCAGGTATGCATGTAAGTATGTGTGCTCGGCATGTGAAGATGTTGCTTCTTGTGTATATCTCCTTTTGTTTTTCTTTTCTTCACTTACGCTCTGCGCTGCTTTATTTCTGATTTCACCAGCTTCTTCGCGTATTCCTTCACTTTCGTGTCGATAACGGCCAGCCGCTGAAGGGTCTGGGCGCGGCAAACCTTTTACATGCAAAGAGAATAAGTGATGGATGAGTCACTGTGGTGGTTCAAAAAAGGTTTGAGTTTCTGATTTATTAGTTCGAAGGACCATAAAGGTAGGATATATTGGAATAGCTGAACTAAATGTGAAACTACGATTTCCTAAACACTAAGCTGTGCCATACAAACACTTTGATTCTTTGATAAACCTCTTTAGAGCACTTACCTCGACGTCAGGCTACCGCGGAGAGTCCATCAAGGAAGATGGTCTACAAATTTTATAATCTAGCTTTGTACCGACCAGAGGGGTCGCATAAAAGCTGTGTGATCGTTTCATTATTTTCATCATTTTTACAGCATCCCAATCATTCTGCCATCCGATTACTTTAGAGATTATCATCTTTTTCAGATTGTCGAGTACATTTCTCGTGATCTTTTCCCATCATATTTTAACTAGATGCCTTGATATCCGGCAAGTTATTTAGTGAGTCCACTTTAAGGCGGCCTACACACTGACAAATTCCTTGTGGAAGAGTTAACATGTGGCAAAAGAGAAGAATCTGCTTAATCATTTCTTACCTTGGAAGTAGTCTAGTTTTCCCACAACGTCCTAACGACCAGCGGTCAATGTGAGCTGTCGACATCAGTTCAGCACAATTTTGGCATTTAATACAACCGAGCGAGAGAGCGCTAATAGTGAAGATGTGCGCCTACTTATGGAACTTTATGCCCTGTTTCAATCCGCTTTGCTGCCTCCCTTGTAGTATAGAACTCCAGCTGAAAGAAAATGCAATGATTTGGTAGACTGTAGAAGAGTTTCAATGAGTTGTTTCGTAAGAATGCACTGAGAAGGTCCTCATGTTTCTATTCATACTTGCACATTTCTCACTACCAACAGGACTGTCGGTTGATGTTCCTTATTCCTCTTAAGCGACAAATCTTAGAACTCTAAGGTCCAATCTATTGCTAAGTTAAGGAAATCGCCCGATTGAGTTCCACCGTCGTCTGGTACTTAATGCCGCAGAGCGTTAAATGAAATCCATATGGAGTTTCTACGGCTGTAAAGCGTCAGCTTAAACATCAGTACAAGTTCTACAGGCTGGATCCTATACCCTTTTTCTTCTAGCCTTTTCCAAACGAATAAATGGTGGGTATCGTTCCTTTTCTCTTCGATCTTATTGTATTTTTCAAAAAAAAAAAAAAAAAAAAAACCCCAACCACCAAGCATTACTTTACGTAAGCTCCCATATACTGAGGCTCGAAGAAGTCCTTTACGTTTCTTACTGACACAAGAGTTTCACAGCCATAAACAGCTTTTGGATATACCAAATTCAGATACAGCCTACAGACAGCACCTTCTCGCGCAGTCGAATTCCACGAAGATGTGAGGTATCGTTGATACTTTAAACCCAAGGTTATTTCAAGAGCTGGTACTTGGTGAAAATATGGTTGATGGAGGATGTAAAAGGTTTAAAGCCATACCAATTCAGGACGAAGTTGCAGAATACGCTAGACGAAACCTACTAGGTGATATTGTGGAAGCTCATCCCATGATCATTGGCGAGGATTGCGGGTTCTTCCGCTCTTTGGATTCGTCAGAGTATACTTAGATTTAAATCCTGCAGCATTCAATCGGCCGCACATAGTCTGCCTAAGAAGCAGATGCATTTACTTTATCAATGCTTCGCCACCATATTTTAGTAACTCAGTCAGGTAAGCGATCGGTGCCCGCCGCTTTGTTATTCTTTAAGCTCCCTTTGTTATTTTTTAGTCGGTTATTAGAACGTCTTAACACATGGCATTGCTCCGGTTTCGAAACTCTCTGAAAGACACTTAATCTTTTTGTATGATTTTAAGCTTCTCCCTGTTGGCTGAGCTCTGAATTTCTCGCATTTCGCCTTCTCGCTCTTTCGGTCTGCAAAACCGTCTCGCTTCTCTCTCAAACTCCCGTTATCTTGCCTACAGATTAAAGAGACCCTAAAAATTATTAGAAATATCCACAGATCCAGCGTAAAAACAGAAAGTGAGTTTCCAGAATTTTTTGTAACCACAAACCTAGAAGACGCACGATACGTGTATTTCAAACTACGCAAAGCCTCCCGTAAAGAGCTTGCGCTTCGAGGATTAAAAATTTGTTCTCTCCGGGTTTACAGAACCAAAAACCTCTTTACGATTAAATTCACAGAAATCCTTAATATTGCATTTTATATCACAAATCAAAACCGAGCCTGCTCTCCAGTATATGCACATACATATATATATATATATGTATTTATATTTTTATATTACTAAACAATTAGACACCAACGAAGACAGCCGATTTCCTACTCGTACATCAAATACGGATATGTATGCGCGTGTGATTGCTTCCATTGCCTGCGGATGAACAGAAAATTATAGATAAACCAAATCGAAGACATTAATAAATGCATAGCCAGTGATTTGCCATAAAAACTGCTGAGCTTCGGGGCAGCTCTCCATAATTGATGTGCAGTTCCATGCTAAAAGTATCAATTAAATCCTCAATCGTCTGTGGAGAGAAAGAATTGGCACTTGCAGTTTTGTTCAATTGAATAAATACGAAAAGGGCGGAGGGTTAAAAATATGCTAAGAGGGAGTTTGTTGGTTCGACTATTTGATTGAATTTACTCCTTAAAAGACTGCGGTTCCGAATGGGGAGTTCGCAAGCAGAGTGAACTTCTTGATTAGCTTAAACCTCTAGCCGTGTGTGGGAGTTTAACGATGACAGCGTGATGAGACCCTACCAAGGCTTTCAAAGCACTGGCACTGGCTCTAGAACTTGTTTGAGCCTTCTCGATGCACTCAAAAAGCGACCCGGTTCGTTGGTCTACGCGGTAAGAGACTACTTCCATTTAATCGTACTCATAAAGAGTTATGACTATAAAGTCAGTCACTTTTCGTATTGAATAGAGCTCCATAAACGAATCCATGGCAATTGAAAAAAGTAATACGAACTTATTTGATCGGCAGGAAGAACTTTCTTCGCGTGAATAATGAATTTAACCACTACCTATAGCAAACGAAAAGCTCCAACCGTACCCGAAGACCCGACTAATACTCGCACGACTTAGTTTTAGGTATTGTAGCAAACTCAACTCCTACTTATCCAGACGCATCCCCGACATGCTTTACAAGCATATGACCTACATGCAACGAGTCCCCGACACGACACAAATCACATCTTTGCATCCCCACTAAGGCGCTCTAATCTCACACGCATCTTCTAAGGTCCGAACCCGTCGAAGCAGCGCCTTTCTTAGGTTTTCGGCTAGATCACATCGATTGCTTCGGCTAACTTTGTCTGCTTCTTCTAAGCGGCGTCGATTAATCGTTACAACAACAACAACATTTGTAGAAGGAACAAATAGAAGTACACGTTTTCAAAAATTCTCAGAGTGAGCCAACCCAAAAGTCATCGTTTTTATTTTGGAAATAAACGCTCATCGGTGAAAATATTTGGCGCCCTCTGCTATTTTTGTCCAAACTAAGCGAAAACTCGTTACCGAACCACATATGTATGTACGTACAAGTAGCCTTATCAGCAGACGCTTAAGCCCATTCATGCCCGTAAGGAAGCGATCAACACTATACACCTCTCGTAACTGGCAAAAGCAGTGCTGGCACACACACATAAATCGGACCACCACCAGCGAAGTACTACGCAACGGCCACTGACCACCAGCGTGTTTGGTGTAGAAGGTGGAGTCGTACACCACCTACCGAATTCGAAATTCGCATACGAAAGTCAACTTGTCGATTTGTTGGTGGAGCTGGGCAACACCCCTCTATGCGTTCAAAACAAGTGTGCCTTATTTTGTTATAATTTTTCTTTTTTAGTACTGTTATTCTGACAGCATGTGGCGGTAACGATGAGCTCTCAACGCTTTTCACCAACTACTGCGAACTATTTTGTATATTTTGTAGTTTCATTGAGTTACTCCGCTGCCAACGAATTGACTGGAGTTGAGTTGAGTTGAGCTGAGTTTGGAGCCGACGACATCGGTGGTCTTATCAGAAGCTACGATTTCTGTATGAACCTGTCAGAAATGGCATTGGTAGCCATTTATTATGAGCATTTGTTTTCGTACAAGCACACGCGCACATAAGGCAAAGGCAGCAACAAACAGCTGGTGGCCCTTTTTTTTTGCTTGAGCTCTCTTAAACGCTTAGGTTCCTTTGCTTGTTTGTTGGTTGGTTGGTTGGTTGGTTGGTTGTGTGTAAGCAAATCGTTACGCCAGTGGCGATTTTGCACTTCCTCCTCCTTTATCGTTTTTAAAACAAATGAATTATTAAGTGGATGTGCATAATTATGGTTTACTTTGCGCTCTGGCGAACGCAATGACCATTTTGTTAAATGCTCACACAATCGAATGCTCGGTATTAAAAATTGATGTTGTTTGTCACGCCTATTTGGCATATAAGTACATATATGCATTTGTGTTACTGCTTTTGCTTTCACATTTCTATAATTTACACTTGTTATATTTCCCGCACTGAATCCACTGTATGGCGGAAGAGAGGAAGTAGTCTTTTAAAATTTTTATTTCCTTCTTTTCCTCTTTCCAGGTGCGACTTCATAGATCTTACGAATATGTTTCCTTCAATTAAAATCACCATCTGCTAAACTTATTGAACAAAATAAATACTCTTTTCACATTAGTCCCAGCAATGCTTTAGTGATTCTAAAATTATTTGTATTAAAATATTATTTACTTGTGACATTCGATCAGCTGCTTCTGTTTACTTTCTTATCTTCTTGATTTTTTGCACTTAACACAAAAGCAAAACATTGCCAAAATTCCAGTGATAATCGCGAAACTCGTTGTAATGTATAAAAATTTAAGCTAGTCAATAAATTAAACAAAATTCAACATCGTCACTTCCGCTAAAAACTGCATGAAGTTGAAAATTCATTTCTTACTAAGAAACCAAACCATTGATTGTTGCTTGGCGCCATCTGTAGTTCATTAGCGTAGAGTAGCAAGAAATAAATACGTCGGTAAGGTCGTGCAATTGTAAATAACCACACCTACAGATATTACAAATGACAGACCAAAGACCCAATTGGAATCCGAATGTGGAAAACGAATGAGTTCTTTGACTCAAATATTTCCATTTTTTAATTTTTCTTATTATTTATGTTATCTGCTAAGTCTGCTTTCTAATGGAATAATGATTTCAGAAGACCCGGGAAACTTATTTTTGTTTATTATATTTTGATAATTAATTTAAGAAATTATTCATATATATTTTACTATATATATTATTATATATATATTATATTACTAATTTTCAGGATCATTTTTTCTTTATCATTTTTCTTTGTGGAAATGAACCAAAAACCGATTTATGCGAAAAATCATTTTTTACTTAGAAAAAGAACACTTTTTTTAGCAAATGGATCTTAAAGATTTTATTTACATATGCTTGATATGATTTGGTTGAAACTTTTCTCTTTCCGGACAGTGAACCTTAAGCCAAAATTTTCAAAATAGTCTTATTTGTGCTTCGACTTGCTAAAATTTTAATTTTGATGAGCAAATATTTACAAACAGTTCTCTTCTTACTGCAGAATGACTTGGTTTAGTTTCGAGCTGGATCCCCTAGCAAGCAAAACAAGAAATAAATAGTCTATTAATATTTAAGCCTAGAATAGAGCATATATTAGTTTAGTGAAAGCTTTAAATACTACGACTTTCGCGGAGTCAGCATTTTTTCATTTTTAACTGATTATATTTTGTTAACTGTTTTTCGCACTATTATTTACATTGCTTTGAAGTTCATTCTAACTAAGATCAGAAAAAGCAATCAATAATTTTTCTTATAACAAAGTGTTTTTAGTTAGCTACAAACGGGTAGTCTTCTTTTCATCAAATTTCCAAATCTGTTTGTTAGAAATTTTTTCCATCAAAATATATTTTAATAATCGCGCAGCTACACTATTTCCCCTTGCCTCAAAAAAGGTTTTTTCATATTAGGCCGAAAATGCAAAAGTCATACAGATATCTACAGCATATTTTAGAGCGCGTGTACTGTCGCGAAAACATATAGTAACAAATTTCCAGAGCTGAGTACGAGATATCGGTAATATATAGGTGAGCGACCAACAGCAAAAGGCTGCAACAAATTGAACTCCTTGGTGACAGCATTGCTATAAAGTGAAAATAGTGAGGAGTAAAGTTAAGTTAAGAAACTGTACAACAAATTAGGTGACTTTTATTTACCAAACCAATCATTGAACTCGCAGAATTCGGAGAAACTATCGAGGCTTATTAAGTGAAATAGTGAAATTCGTTTAATTATGTCTTACTTACTTTCGAAATACGCTTTCATAAAATAATTTTATTTTTAATAAAAAAGAAAATAATTGACTAAAATTACTATTGCTCAATCAATTGTTTAAATGAGTTTCGAGTTTTTTTTTTTTTTTTTGAATCTCGTTATTCACTTAAAAACTGTAAAACATATAACTATGTATATTTTGCAGTCATCTGTCAAAAAGTAATTTCGTTTTTTAAATTAAAAGGTCAATAAAGTTAATGATTTTTATCGAAATCAGTCTTGACATTCTCTGGTAGGAGGCGACCGCAATTAGAACTAGTAATTCTCTATAGTTGTGTATCGAACCCTGGACTTTGGAATGACAGTACGCATTGTTGACCACTCGACAGCCAGCTCATTAACTTTATTAATATTATGTTTTTTTCTATGAGATAAATTGGAATGATCTCCAATAATATAATAATAAAAATATATTATTAATTAACAATGTTAATGATATATCTTGCAAAAGGTTTAAAAGTGAATTTAGTTATCGTTGAAAAATTAAATACACTATAATTTGCAACTTCTAATGAATTACGAAAAATAATAATTTTGAAACTATCTTCAGTGATGGTATATAAATAAATATAAGTTTTTATAAATGAAACAATCAGTTTGAATGATTTCACTTCAGCAAGAAATTAGTTATCGAATTTTCTATATTTATATATTTTAATGCAAAACTCGTGAATCTCAACATAAATAGACCGACGGCAAGCGAAAAATTTAGCATTTTGCTATAACAGTGTTGACATGCTTTCAATATTAATATTTTTATTTAAAAATTGCCATTTCAAATTATATTACCAGCGTGTTTTGATTTCTATATCGTAATAAAACTTATCGATAACTCCTTTTTCTAAATCAGTGCTAATGAAGTACACCGCAGCTGCAACCCTGTGCAGCGAACAGGCTGTCAGCCAACTCGATTTTCGGCCACCATCGGCAAGGCAGTTGGAAACTTGAATTACTTCATTGTTGTTTTTTCTTGGTTTAGTTTTCTTGTTGCTTCTTCAGTCGTTGTATGTATTATTATGCGTTCAGTGGAGTTTTTGAATAAATTGTAAAAAGTATAAAAGCGAATATTAAAACCAATCGTGATTATTATTATATAGAACAGCGTTTGTTAATCCCGACCAATGCGGTGCAGTGTGTATTAACAACAACAATTTATATGAAATATAAGTAATGTTAATACCAAGAATCATGCGTTACACATAAATAATAAGCGAAAATGTTGAATGGTTTGTTTATTTGCGCCCACGCAGAGTGCGTTTGAATAATAGTAGAGTTTTTGGTGATACGAGTGGAGAATTAAAGAAATATTGGATAAAGTGAAAATAATTAAAAGCGTTTTATTTAGATATCCACCAGATTGAAATAGTAGAGCGCATGCAACAGATCTCCATTTAAAAGTATTCTCAACTGCAAGCTGATAGTGAGCTAAAAAAAAAGTGCTAATATACATACATACATATACACATATATATTTAAATATAAGGGGAGAAGCATAAAAGTGCATCTGTGCCAAATATAGTGTGTGTATGTGCTAGTGCGTGTGTGAGCTTACGCGAACTAGTCGACGAGAATGTGCGATAATGATGAATCCTTTTCGTCACAGCAACAAGAAAATTTGCATAATTCGAATATGAATGACAGCCTTGAGACTGCAGAGTTGCTACCTGCACACAACCAAAGTCATTTGGCGCACGATGCCATTTCCTTGTGCAGTTCAGAAACATCTTTCGATCAGCAGCTGCATCAGACCACACAATCATTGGCTATAGCCAGTTCAATAATGGCCGGTTTTGGCTATGAACCGAATAGTATTGGTAATGTTATTGGTGGTAGTGGTGGTGGTGGTATTGGTATGATTAGCGGTGGTAGCGGCTGCGACAGCACTTCAAATAGTATTGTGCGTTATAATAATGATTTAAATATTTTCGGTTCAAGTGAGTCTGTAGGTGTAATGGCAACGCCCACGGGTCCACAACCATCGCTAGCACCACAAATAGCTGCAGCTGTGAATACGGTCAAGATCAATGTAGAAGAACTGTTACGCGAGAATCGTGCACTGCGCGAAAAGCTCAAGGAAGTCACAGCCGATCGCGATCATTTGCTTTGCGAAGTGTCTAATCTACGTTTAGAACTGGATATGTCGGCGTTGAAGCAGCTGCCCGAACAAAGGTGAGTGTATGTGCATACATACAAATTTATGTTACACATTGTGGGTGTGGGGGGTAATCGGGTGTGTCATTGCACGCAGGATATGTGATGACTCAAACCGGCCGGCTTAGCACTTCCTTGCGGGCAGTATAAAGCCAGTGGTGATGGTGGTGGTGATGTTGCCTGTTTAGCTGCTGCCACCAATTGCCGCACAACTTTGTGTGACTAATATACATATGTATTGTGTGAGTGCATGTTTTGTTTTGGGCCCTTAAAAGTCACCCCTGCTGCGCGCGTGCCAATTGCATGTACTGTTGCTTGACTGATTGTCGTCGTACAGCTTGAAGGTTCAATTTGTACTCTCGCATGGGACTCAAGTGCGTCTGGTTTGAAGTTTATGTTTTTTTCATTTGTTTTTTTTTTTCTCTTTGCACCAAACAACAACAGGAAACAAAAGTGTAAAAAACCAGTTAAGCGCTCGGAACAGAGCAACGGAAACGGCGTCAATGCAAACAAACTCTCGACGTTCGATATATTCATAGTTAAAAAAAAAAAATCTGTAAAACACTTTTTTATGCGTGTTGACATATCCGTGGGTGTGATTTTTGGTTGAGCCGGTCAAGTATGTTCGTTTTTCTATAAGAAACAAGTTTTACGCTTTTAGGTAACCAATTGTTTTTTTTTTTTATTAATTAGTGTATTTATGAGTGTCAAAAGCTGGCTTACTACGATTTCGTTAAATTAAGTAAAGCATGCGCGTTAAAAGCTTTGACTTAAATGGCTTGGATTCATTCATAACATTTAAACTATGGAGTATTAAAATTTATTTTTTGATGGACTTATAATCGCCTCCAATTAACACATAAGGACTTATAATTCGTGTAGTTTTTAGTATTAAATAAATTATTTCGGAAATGTGTTTACGGCTTGTCAAAGATTACAAGGATTATTGCGCTCGAAGGTAAAAAAAAAATGTCAGATTTAGTTAACACTTCATAAATTAAAAAATATATAAAATTAAAAAATTAACGAAAGATTAAAAGATAAAAAAAATATAAATTCAAAAATTTTAAGAAAATATAATTTAAAAAAAAAATAATTAAATTTACAATATGAATGTTTAAAAAAATAATAAAAATGAAAAAAAAAATAAATAAATTTAATTCAAAAAATATTAAAAGGGAGATACAAAATTTTAATAAATGATATATATGAATGACCGCTGAAGTGATTTTCGGCCGAGCTCCTGCTCCAATTTATGGTTGTGAGTCTTGGAGGGACCTACAGTTTATACTAAGCCGCCTCCGAAGAGCTGATGGTTTTTTACGAGGAGCAATACACTCGGAGGGGTGGAGATTTCCTGAAGATGGGCGGCCGTAATTAGAAAATTTAACTTAATATTTTTTTTATCTAGAGCCTTCCGAATGGCAGTACGCAAAGCTAACCACTCGGCTACCAAGATAATAAAAATAATAATTAAAATAATAAACTGCCGCTCCTGAGTCCACGTCCAGATCTTCTAGTCATCATCAGTGTAAGAGGCGAAGCAAGGCGGAAGTTTCGAAATTGTAAAAATGAAACAATAATGGAAGGAGGGCAACCGCTGCCAAAACCCTTTAATTAATTTTTCGCAGTTTGGAGGTTTCAGTTCGGAGTAATCGATAAACTGAAAGATGCCTGAGCTTGTCCACACCAAAGTGGTATGAGTACTACCTTACAATGCTCTGATAAATTCAATGTTTTATGGAAATTTATCTATTTATCAAATCTTTTTAAAATAAAACTCTTCAAGTGTAGAATAAAGAGTTCATTGTTCTTTTTTTTTGTTATTTATAAACCCTCAACAGTTATTTAAAAAAAAATAAAGAATTCTTATCATATTTTTATTTCAAATTAATACTATTTCCATATCTTTCGCTCCTCTTCATAAGCTACAGTGTGTGTATGTCTGTATATCAATAAATTCTTCTGTAATCATATCACAAAAGCGAAAAAAATTCAACGAAATAAAAAGAAAAAATATAAAAATAAAAATGAACATAATATAAAAGACTAATAAAAAGGAATAAAAAAAAATAAAAAAAAAATAATAATAACAAATAAATGCTATAAAAATATAAGAAAATGTGAGTTTAAAATATTGAAAATATAAAAACAATTATAAAAATAAGTACATTTAAAACATATAAGAAAAACAAAAAGTATAAAAAATATTAATCAAATATACAAAATTTAAAATATATAAAAAATGAAAAATATAAAAAATGTAAAAAGTATATAAAATGTAAATAAATAAAAAACTATTACAAAATATAAAAAATTAATAAAATATAATTAAAAAACATGAAAAAAGCTTTAAAAAAATATAAAACTAATAATAAAATATAAAAAATAGAACAATTATTGAAAGTGTATAAAATATATAGAAAGTATATTAAAAATATAAAAAAAAATAAAAAAAAATATATAAAAAAATATAAAAAAAAATATAAAAAAAAAATATAAAAAATATAAAAAAATATAAAAAAGCTCAAAAGTTATACAAAAAAATTAAGAAGAATAAGAAAATGTATAAAATATAACAACTAAATGAATTTAAATATATAAGAATTCTAAAAAAGTTATAAAAAGTATAAAGGCATAAAGAGTACAAAATTATTAAAATATAAAAAATTAAAAATGTAAGAAAATAAAAAAAAAATATAAAAATATAAAATATAAAAAAAATTTAAAAACTGTTAAAAAATAATACAAACTTTATTATAAAATAAAAAATTAATAATAAATTATAACAAAATATAAAAATACAAGAAGTAAATAAAAACACAAAAAGTATAAAAAATTACAAAAAATGTATAAAATATAAAAAAATATATAAAATATAAAAAAATATGTAAAATATAAAAAATATTAAAAAACTTATTTAAATATAAAAATACAAAAAGTATGTAAAAATACACAAAGTATATTAAAAAAATAAAAAGTATAAAAAAATGAAAAGTATATAAAAAACAAATAAATATAAAAAACTTAGGAAGGAAAAATTTATACAAAAAATATCAAAAGAATAAGAAAATATATACATTATAAAAAGGAAATAAATTTAAATATTATAAAAAATAAAAATTAAAAAGATGAAAATATAAAAAAAAAAAAAAACAAAATGTAAAAGAAAATATCAAAAATGTATTGTAAGAAAATTTAAAAAATAAATATAACTAAATATAAAAATATGAAAAGTATAAAAAACATCAGAAGTATATAAAATATAAAAAATATATTAAAAAATATTTTAAAAAATATAAAATAATTTAAGAAAATACAAAATAATTTAAGAAAATAAAAACAAAATAAAAAAATTTATAATAAAAAAATATAAAATAAAAAAATATAAAATAAAAAAATATAAAATAAAAAATATAAAATAAAAAAAATATATAAAAAATTGCAAAATTATCACAAATGAACACTCAACAAAGCTAATCGCACATGTTTATGTTTATTCAGTACAAAAATTAATATATACAATCATACATACATACAAGTACATGTGTATGCATTATAAACAGCTACGAAAATTGCCGCAGCAAATGGCAAATAAGTTCATTATTGTACACTTTTTGCCGCTTGTTATTGTTGTTGTTGCTATTCGCTGCTTTTACTAGCTAACTAGCAAAGAAACGACCATCAAAAGCGCACAGCACTCCATAGACATCATTATCATAGTCACCGTCACCGTCGCCGACGCCGCCGTCGCCACCGCCGCCACCCTTGAAATAAGCAAACAGCACTTGGCCGTCGTTGTCGTTGTCGTTCTCGTCGTCGTTGAGCTCAAGCATGACTCAAGCACAGAGATAAGATAACTATTTTCTAGTGCACTTTTATTACTTTGTTATTGTTTTTTTTAGTAGTTTATGTAGTTTTAGCTGGCTGTTATTGTACCTACAACATTTTCTAAATTTTCTACACTTTTATTATACGTTTTTTTTCTCTTTCTAATCTTATCAAAAAAAAAAAAAAAAAAATGCCGTTCGCTTTGCTTTACCAAGTAAATTCTTTTGCTTCTTCTTTCCACCCGTTTAATGGCTGTGGGATATTTTACATTTGTATGACTCGCTGTGTGTTTAGCGCGGAGTCGGTGGTGTTCGCTATGCGACGAGATAACGAGACAACTGTTTTGGTAGTTACTTTATTTTGGACACGATTTTAATCAGCGCCGGCAAACGGCGCGCAGTCATTGTCATCGCCTCGAAACACCGACCACTATTTCCAGCGCACTAACGACCTGCTCACAAATTACTCGCTTGAATTGGCTGGATATCTGGCTATCTATCTATGTATCTACAAGTACTTTCCACCGATAACGGTGTATGTGCTACGTGTTTTTTTTTCTCCTTGGACAAATTTTCCAATTCATTATGCGCACAAAATTAGCATGCGGCGGAGCTTGAGTAGAGCACTACATAATATACATAAGTAGATAGTAGTCGAGTTTGCTCCGACACGCTAAAGACACTGTTTACTACTTCAAAATGCACAAAGTTTATGCCCTTTGACCTTAGCGCTTTAATTTTATTGTCTTACAGACAGCGCTGCGTAACGCGGAGTTAATAAATTACACAAAGGCGTGTTGCGGTCGCGTTTGGTCGACCGGAATATTCATATAAGAATGCTACCCAATGAACCAGAAGTAGCTCGAGCGTAAGTAGTCCTTGAAAATTGATAGATGGATATATTCGCTCAGCCCTAAGTCCTTTAGGCGTCCTAACAGACGATCTAATGTGATTTCGCTGCGGCTGTAAGGTGCCTAAGTTCCTGGCTGAGTCCTCAGCTATTTCATTCCCTTTTATTCATGGGTGTCCTAGAATCCAAATGAGCCGAACATGATACTCTTCCCTTACCTGAGTCTCCTGACACATACTCGCACCATGAGCGGTCTAATGTGATAAGAAAGCCATCAGTGCAGTCTGGTTGTCACTGCAAATTACTATATATTGATTCTTCATACTCTTGTTCTAGGT